TAAAATAATTAATTTTTTTGATTCATATAAGATCTATCATATTGAATATATTAACTCATTTAATAATATATTAAAATTATATAAAAAAATAAAATAAAAAGATTGTTTCTATAACACCACCTTTGTTAATATATATATGTTCTTTTTTCTTAGATATTTTATCAAAGATTTTACCTCTTTCAATGGCAGAAGAACGACCTCCTCCAGCACCAGTATCCCTCTGTTCTTTATGATGTTTCTTTTACTTTCTTCGTGTTTTCTTTTTAACCTTTTTAGTTTTTTTACCTCTCAAGCAGATTTGTGTTCTTAAAGTAAATATCCAATGTTGTGCTGCATGTCGCAAGAAAATCAAGAAGACTTTAGAGAAAATACATGGTATGTTGTATCATTCTTAGGAATTATATGAGATAGTGTTATACGTATTTGGTATATTTGATTCTTATTTTAATCTCTTTTTTAAAAAACTTTTTTAAATAAATGCATGTCAAGCTTATTAATAATGTCAGGTCGAAGATTTAAACCCACTTACCACCTTGTAAACCAAAATAAGAAAAAAACAGTTCTATAAATCTCCGAAAAGAAGCAATATATTTTGCATTGAGAATTCTTTTCGTAGAGTATAAAAAAAGAAAATAAAAATTAAGATGTTTTACCATACAGATGTATATTACAATCATCAAATAAATAAATTTTTGATTGAAATTCACGAAATCCACAGATGTCCTAAGCACCACAACCCAAAAAATATAAAATAAAAGTGAAATCTTTAATATTAGAGATTTATTTTTATTTAATAATTAAAATTATATAACTTAATCAATACTTTTTTGTTTTGTATTTATTTGTTTTTTAATTGTTTTATTTTATCACATAGGTGTTAACGCTGTCAAGGTAGATGCAGAGCGCGGGCTTGTATCTGTCTCTGGCGCCGTTGACCCGTCGGTGCTGAGCCAGGCAATAGCAAAGAAGCTCAAAAAAAAGGTAGAGTTATACGCCTATGAGAAGACGCCCAAGCAGGAGAGCAAGAAGGCAGAAAGTGAAAAATGCAATGTCCAGAGTGAAGGAAAGACGGCACCCTCTCATAATAGCTCCCGGGATCCTGATGGTGGTCATGATGGAGGAGACAGCCGAACGCTTCCAAAGACTGGCACGGTAGATGAGAGAAATTCTGTTGAATCCAGAGTGTCAACAATGCAACACGCACAAGTTGGGGACCACCACCTTCCATACAATTTCTACCAGAATGAAGCACCAGCAAGGAATAACTCCATTTTGCACTCATTCTGTGATGAAAACGTGAACAGTTGCAGCATCAGCTGATTACCAATCAACTGCAACATTTGTGGGGATTTTCAATTTCTCACTAGAAGTCTAGAACATATCTAACCAGAATATTTATCAATTAATATAATAAGGTAGTTTTTTCAGCTGAATTTCAGCCATGCATCTAAACTCCATCTATTACCCAATACTTGAATTTCTATCTCTAATCTTGAACTTCATATTCATGAATTATTCGGTAGTAAACGGTAGTAGACTAGTAGTGGTTACCTGTTACAACAGCAGCTACATGGTAGAACTGGCAATAATTATTCTTCTTTATTTATTTACTTCTCATTTATTTCCCGGGTAGATGGAAGATCTTTTCTTCACTTGACACGCTCGATGAACCAGTCCAACATGTTTTGATGGGCTTCTTCAGCATGCTTAAGTGCCTTCTCACCTTCAGTTTTTTATCTCACTGTCCATCCATGTGCTACTCCAGGGAATATCTTTGCATAACCTTTTATCTTGTCAAGTATTAGCCCCACTTATTAGAGCATGTTCTGTTTAGTGTTCTTTTTTTCAAAATAGAACAGAGATAGAATTCTTATCCATTGGCGTTATGTTCTCAAGAAGAGCTTGTTCTCTGCACAGAATATGTTCTCTTTTTATTTATTAACACTGAAAGTGGCTAAAAGTTGCCTTGAAAGAAGGAATGGGCATTGCAGCCAAAGTTGGTGTGTGTTTTGTTAGGTGTTCCATTTAAGAATTAAATACATAAAAATATGAGTTTATATAAGATAATATTAATTGTGATGATGTGACACTAAAGGAGGCTTTTTGATTGTTCCCCATTGTAAATGCTCCTAATTTAAATAGTTGGAACAACTTCATCAACCGATACTGACTGTGATTTTTAATTTTAGGTTAATCAGTTAACGTTCCATCGATAAGGAATAAAAGCAGTAGCCACTATCAAAGCATGGTTTTCTGAAGTTCAGAAATTCTCACCTCAGGCCTAGTGTATCAAACCTCAACTGTTCCATCGCCTATTTAAAAAAAAAAAAAAAACCTCTTCAAACCGTTTGAGAAGTTCAGGTGTAGAAATCTTGTCTATCCATCTCAGCTCCCAAAACTGCTATTGGTGCCTTAATCTCTGTGAGAATGAAAAAAGAATCACAACAGGTGCCAAAGCTTAATAGGAAAATGGTGATGAGTCTTAAGTTGCAATTATATTCATACCCTTAATATCATCCACAGTAACAAAGGAAGGATGCAAAAGCACAGCAGCCTGAATGTACTCGGATTTTGTATAAAAAGAAAAATGTTGAAACCTTACCACCCCAGCAAAATCCTGAAGCACCAATTGCATGTATGCCTTTGCTTCTTAAAGCAACAATTACTGGTTTTGCATCTTCAAATCCTCTATCCTAAAAGAGAAGAAACTTATTCATCATTAAGGATTTTGCATTGTTAATCACATTTTATGAAAGTGAGTGAGCAAAGTAACATAGTCAAAAGTCTTGTTTACTCCAGAGTCCAGACTGCAGTTCACAACATGTCAGTGTAGTTACTCTAAAGATGTAGAGTTAGAAAACAAACCGTTCCATGAGACTTTATCCAGACTGGCAGGGGCCTGTCTGCACTTTCAGGTGCATGAGGATCTTCATAAAAGAAATCGGGAACCACAACGTAGAATCCATTTTGGACGCAACTTTGACAGCAACCTTCCTTTATTAAAGTAACAGGGTAAAATTCCTCACATTAATCTTACAAACCCATACAGCAACTCTCTAACTCCTGAAACAAGTTATTCAAGTCATATGTATGAACATAAAGAAGACATAAAGCTTAACGACCATAGGACATTCACATGGACATGTCAAATTGGTGGGTCACATTGGATTAAGTTGGGTCATTGCGCGTCATAGGTTAGATGTACCATATGGAGAAATAATGATAAATTCCAACAATTTTCTAAAAGAGCATAGTTGAAAAAAGTAGACATACCTCGAATTTGGTGCTTCATAATCTGTAAAATAGTAATTTTATTTTAATAAATCAAAACCACAAAACAGAAAAAGAAAAGAAAGAAAAACCTAAAATTAAACTTATAAAACAGTTTGCTACTTAGAAAATATAGATAGAAACACAATTATTTTCTTGGTCATGAGTTGCACAATCTGAGACAACTCTTCCCTATTTTAAGGTCCATTCCACCCATATATGGTATGTTACTCAAACTCTAAACTTCTTCCTTACTTAGCAATTCAGCAGCACAAATTCGATGAGGTATTTAGAAGTGAAATTTAAGAGAGGAATAGCCGGTAAAAAAAAGCAACCCAAACAGGAAAGCAGTAGTATAGTGCGTATATAAGTGAAAGAGTGAAAGTGGCAATCACCATAGATATCAGAAATGAGAAGAATGGCACGCTTGGAATCAGAAGGGCCAATAATGTATGCTTTGAGTCCTCCGATTTCCGCCACGGCAGCGGCCTCCTCCGCTGCTGGAGCTTAGCATCGGTGGATTTTCACAGCACTGAGAGCCTGATATTGTCAGCTTGTGTTGTGTGGAGGAGAAAGAGAAACGCTTGACAAGAAAGATATTCTAGTTCTTGATAAAATAAAATAAAAATGAAAAAAGAAAAAGAAAAAGAAAAAGGAATGACATTTACAAAACGGTGACGTTCTCATCACTAAAATGAACATTAGATGATTATAGTTTTGAATTTTTTAGGTTTAAGTACCATTTTAGTCCCTCAACTTTACACATTGGTACCAAAATTGTCCTTCACCTTTAAAAAGTACCAAAACTATCCTTGAACTTTCATTTTTAGTACCAAAATGGTCCTTCCGTCAGTTAAATGACAGATGTCACGTTAACTTGCCAACAAATCACTTAACTTTTTAAATGTTAATGACGTATAAATCCAACAAGGAAAACTCCCATTTTTTTAATCAGTTAATACATTAAAAAATTAAAATTACTTAAATGCCCTCATCCTCGCCCTCCAACCTTCCTTTCTTCTTTCTCCTGCATCTCCTCCAAGCTCCAAGCAAACCAACAACTTCGAAAAATCTAGCAGCTCAAAAAAAAAAAAAAGAGCAATGGTAAACTCAGATTTCCATGGCTTAATCTCTATAAAAAAAACAAAATTTTTATGTTGAAAGCTTCACTTTTCCTTGGATCTATAAAAAAAATTGTGAACCAATTTGACAAAATCTTGTCTCCCTCCACCTCAAACCTTCCCCTCTGCAACAATCATTCTCCTTCCTCAGATCTATAAAAAACCCAAAATTTATATGTTGAAAACTTCAATTTTCCAACCATTCAAGTAATTAATGAAAAATTCAAGATCCAAAAACAACTTGCTCACGCAGGCAGCCATGCCCAGCGTCCTTGCGTCCACATGCTTCAACTCCTCGAACAACAGATTCTCGTCTAAATTCACAAACCCAGTTTCTTCACCTCGAACACGAGGGAGTAGCAGTGCCACGAGTGCGTCCCAGTTTCTTCACAAACCCAGTTTCGAGGAAGTATTATATGCAAGAGAACCCAGATCTGGGTTTTTCTCAAACCTAGAATCTGGTGCGAGGCTGCTGAAATGCCAGATCTGGGTTTGAGAAAAACCCAGATCTGGGTTCTCTTGCATATAATACTTCCTCGAAACCCCTTCCCTTATAAACCCAGCCTTTTCCAGCACCCTTTGCGACCCAATATTCTCCACATCCACCAGCGCCTCAAGCTCCTCAAACCCACCAAACTCTGGGTTTTTCCCAAACCAGATCTGGCATTTCAGCAGCCTCGCACCAGATTCTGGGTATGTTGTCCTAGGTCGAGAGAGTGAGATTGAGTTGAGAAATCCAACTCGTAAACGATCAAGGAGGAATTTGGAAAGGGAAGAGAAGTCGAAAGAGATTGAGAAGGAGAAGCAATGTTGGGGAAGAGTGAAGAGGAAGGGGAGAATAAGGAAGAAGAAGGTTAATTTTGAAAATGATTTTAATTAATTAATAAAAAATGGTTTTTATTTATTTGTTTAAAATTAAAAATGCCATGTAAACAAAATAACGTGCCATCTCATCAATTTTCGTGTGTTATCTTTTCCACATCAGCATG